CGAGGTGCACTCTTCGACCTGCCCCGTGCCCCCCACTCCCACCAGTTCCAGCTGGGGTAGCCTCACTGAAATGGGCCTTGTGTGGCTGTCATTTGACTCCAGCTGGAGCCGGGGCTGCCCGTGGTAATATTTTTAATACTGTGGACCCAGTTCCCATGGGCAGCCCTGGCTCCATTACCAGCATGTGGTCCCACCCCAGGAGCAGCTGGGGCCAGAGCTGTGGGGGACCTGGCTCCAGCCCCTGTAAACTGCTTCCCACATGGAAGGCAGAAGGTGAGGGAAGGGACAGGGGGAGAATTAAGGGTAAAGGGGAGAGGAGAGGAAGGGACTTGGGCAGAGGGAGGAGCAGGGCAGGCGAAGAAAGGGGAAGGCACCAAGGGACAGGGTTCAGGAGAGACAAATGCCAGGGGGGCCAAGTGCAGACAATGAGGAAAAGGGCAGGAGGGGAGGCGTCAGTGAGAGGGGGGACAGGGTGATGCTGGTAGAGGAGAGGGTAAGGGCATTGGGGGCTAGATGAGGGAGGGAGAGGTGCTGGGAGAAGGCTTGAAAGAAGAGGTGGGTATGAGGAAAGTGGGGATAGAGCAAGTCATATGTGAGGGCACAGGGGCATGAGGGGAACGGGGGCAGAGGGTGGTGAGGGGACAGACATTAGGGAAAAGGGGCAGAAGCAGCCAGGGAAGGGGGAGGCATTAGGAAGGTGCAGGACTAAGGGAAGATGCAGGTGCCAGGGGATTCTGGGGGTGAAGCAGAAGAGCAGACACCTGCAGGGGAGGGACTAGCACCAGAGGAGAGAGGCAGGGCATGTGTGTAGAGGGAGGTGTTAAGAGATGGGATGAGGAGGAGTAGTTTACATGATCAGAGTGGGGCTACTGGAGGAGTGGGCACAGGGCGGAGAGAAGGGCTGGTGGAGGGGGGCAGGTCTCAGGAAGGCTGAGGGCAGTGAGACGGGCAGGCGTCAGGACAGCAGAGGAGGAGGATGGGGGCTAATTTGGCTATGACAAATCAGGAAAGAGAACTTGGAGTTCTTCTGGCTAGTTCTCTGAAAACGGCCACACAGTATGTAGCAGCAGTCAAAAAGGCAAATAGGATGCTAAGAATCATTAAGAAAGGGATAGAAAATAAGACACAGAATATCTTACTGCCTCTGTATAAAACTATGTATGCCACATTGTGAGTATTGTGTACAGATGTGGTCTCCTCACCTAAAAAAATACATTTTGGCCATGAAAAGGGTTCAGAGAAGGGCAACTAAAATGATTAGGGGTTTGGAACAGGTCCCATATAAGGAGAGGCTAAAGCGACTGGGACTTTTCAGTTTAGAAAAGAGGAGACTGAGGGGGGATATGATAGAGGTCTATAAAATCATGAGTGGTGTGGAGAGGGTGAATAAAGTTATTCATTAGTTCCCATAATATAAGAACTAGAGGACACCAAATGAAATTAATGGGTAGCAGGCTTAAAACTAATAAGTGGAAGTTCTTCTTCACACAGCGCATAGTCAACCTGTGGAACTCCTTGCCAGAGGAGGCTGTGAAGGCTAGGACTATAACAGAGTTTAAAGAGAAGCTAGATAATTTCATGGAGGTTAGGTCCATAAAAGGCTATTAGCCAAGGGATAGAAATGGTGTCCCTGGCCTCTGTTTGTCAGAGGCTGGAGATGGATGGCACAAGAAAAATCGCTTGATCATTATCTTTGGTGCGGCCCAAGCCATTTTTGCACCCCGGGCCCGGAAGCACCGCCCTTTGTGCACCTGGGGGCACCCCCGCCCGGCTTGGCAGTACCGCGCGGCGCCCCTGAGAGAGCTGATGGACCAAGGGGAGGAGACATGGCAGCAGAGGGAAAAGGTAGAGGTTTATGAGATATTTATTAATAACTTGGATGCCACAGTGGCACATGCAAACAAGCCACATGAACTCAGTAGTGGTGTATAACACAAAATTCATTCTGCTAAGGAAAATATTCTGACAATGACTCAATTTGTCAGTGGAGTAATGTGCAAAAGGATCTCATGAGGTATCAGCATTGGAGATGTTAAGAGATGCCAGGCTTGAAAGTATTATTTTTTAACTAATTTTTACATGCAATAGAAATGTCTATTGTTAGGCCTTTTTTTCTGTTTTCATCCATTTGAGTTTTCACAGTTGGGCATAGGCAGGAATTTTAAGCATTTTTTTAATATGTATTTGTAGAGTGGTTAACAGGTGTTGGGGTGTGGCTAATGGGGTCAAAGAATACATTTAAAACAACTTTTGGTGCACGCCCTAATGAAATGTGCTGCGCATCCCTATGCCGGCGTCATTAAAATAAAAATGGCCGCTGCGCTGTGCCGGCTCGGCTGATTGTCGGCACAGCGCAGCAGTCAAGACGCAGATTAGTTGACAGGGGAAGCTTTTGTCGACCGCTCCTGTAAACCTCATTTCATGAGGCATAAGGGAGTGGTCAACAAAGGCTTCCCCTGTTGACGGATCCGCGTCTTGACTGCTGCGCTGTGCCGACAATTAGCCGAGCCGGCACAGCGGAGAAGCCATTTTTATTTTAATTCAGCCGGGGATATTTAAATCCCTGCTTCATTGATTATGTCGGGTAGCCTATTTTACATGCCTCTGTTGGCAGAGGCATGTAGTCTAGACATACCCCATATGTCCTTCCATCTTGACTGCTAACTCTTGATTATGCTTAGTACAATATTCCAAAATGATTTTGCACCCATCTTATAGTAGGTTCATCTAGGCAATATTTGCCTAGTTTATTTAGGAGACTATTATGTGCAACAGTATCAAAATCTTGACTGAAGTTGAGATACTATGATTTTATCTGAATAAAATATGAACATAAATATAATTGTTACAATCACTGTTATATGTTTGCAACAAATCTTGTAGAAAGTATGCCAAGTGAGTTCTATAAAAAGCTAATAATTCATTGGTTAAGATTATGCCATCCATATGCACATATCAATGTTTGCTGCTTGGAAGCACCAATAAAGCATATTGTGAAGGCACTATTCAAATTGAACAGAAACAACTGACTGACAATGGGCCTTGGGATGTGCTAGTCCACATCTGATGAGCTTTCCTGTGAATGTTCAAACTAGCATGGAAGCAATGGCTTCTACCTGCAAAGAACTGAGTCATGCATGCACAGGTGATTTGCCCATATGCTGGCTCATGTGACAAACTCCATCTTGTGACTGTACTTTTCCACAGAAAGAACAATGGGGTCCCTCCACATGCTAGATTATATAAAAAGCCCTGAAAACCCCTCCATTTTGTCTTCATTCCTACTTCTTACTTCTGCAGGATCTTTGCTACTAACTGAAGCTCTATACAAAAGACTGAATGACCCATTCAAGCAGCAGATATACTTCAAAGACTTGACTTACACCAGCAATTTATTCTATCACGGATACAAGCTTGAACCAAGAACTTTGTAATTGTATGTATTTGATTCCTTTAACAATTTTAACCTCCATCCTTTCTTGCTTTAAAAAAAAATATAAATAACCCTTTAGATTTTAGCTACATGTTGGACCATGGATGTTCCTGGACCACAGAGCCCAGAAATAAGGAGGTCTGAATGCAGGACAGGAGTGTGGTGGGGTAATGGATGGGACTCAGTCGGGAGCCCCATGTCAAGGGGAGGTGGTGCAGCGCATCTGGGAGTTCTGGCTCCAACAGCCAGGCAGTATGGGGGGCTGGCAGCAGCCACAGAGCTCTGGCTCTGATGGTGGCCAGGGAGCCCTGGCCCTGGCAGTGGCCAGGCAGCTCTGGCCCTGGCCATGGAGGCAGCCAGGAAGCTTTGGTCACAGGAGCCATGGCCAGATAGGCAGCAGCGGGGCTGGGCTAGAGCCCTAGCTGGGGCAGGGGTTCAGCAAGGGCCATGAAGGGAGAGAGGGAGAGACCCCCCCCTCTCTGGTCCCACAAACCCCTCGGTTGGGACTGGTCAGGTCCTAAGGGTGCTGGATCAGGGAGGTCCAACCTGTAGTAAAGGACTGACATGGCATGATTATGTGAGTCCTTTACTATCTAAAATATAAAGGTTTCTCCCACAGTCCCTCTTGGCCTAGCCACTGCTATAACTTGGCCTGGCTGTGCTTCCTCCCCTGAAGCTCCTGCAGTACCTCCTTCCCCTACGGCAGCCAGTGCTGACTGAACAGCTCCAGAGACCTTTATAGCCAGCCTCCAGTTGGAGCATGCCCAGCAGGGCTGTGGGGATGGGGCCTCCCCAACGAGGTGAGCCCTTTGGGCCCAGTGAGGGGATTGATACACCCCATCACAGGAGGAACCTCAGTCTTGGTTTGTAAGCAGTCCCATTTCTAAGAAATTTACCCTAAGTTGGTACTCTCAGTAGTGTCCCCCAAAGCATCGCTTGCTACAGATACATCACATCTACCACTTCTCTGCCATTCACAAAGCTTGTTACCAGTCAAAAGAAGATATTACATTGGTTTGACATTTTTTCTTGACAAATCCATATTAATTGTTATTTATCGCCTTAATATTTTCTAGGTGCTCACAAACTGACTGTTTATTTACTCCATTATCTTTCTAAGCACTGAAGTTAAACTGTCTGGACTATAATTCCCTGAGTTGTCCTCATTCCCCTTTTTATAGACGGGTACTATATTTGGCCTAGATCTGTTCTGAGAGAGGCTGGATGCTTAACAGTGTCCAAAGCATGGCGTCCATGTACATCTTTGACTCATCAGGCAATGTGCATGGACTTGGAGCAGTCTCAGCTGAGATGAACCAGATGTTTGGCACTTCTTGGACCTTGTCTAAGACCATCAGGAACTGTTGGGTGAAGGGATAAAAGGACAGACTGGGGAGGACACAGAAGAGAAATTAGCATAGTTTCCTCTCAGTAAGATGGATTGCATTGTGCATGTGGAGGGAGGGTTCTTCAGTGATAGCAAACACAGGGAAATGAGGATGGAGACAGGGATAGGTGTGGAGTACATACATAGCAGTGTGGGTTTTTTTTTCAAACTGGCATGGTTTACTATATTTTTAATTCAGAATCCATGCACATAGCATATGAATAAACAGCATTTTCAGAAACAGCTAAAACTTAACAAAACCCAACACTGGCCTTGGATATACATCTGGGCTATGTCTACTACACTGGCATGATTTTCCGAAAATGCTTTTCGGAAAAGCACATCTAGATTGGCAGGATGCTTTTTCGCAAAAGCGCTTTTTGCGGAAAAGCGTCTGTGGCCAATCTAGACGCAGTTTTCCACAAAAAAGCCCCGATCGCCATTTTCGCGATCGGGGCTTTTTTGCGGAAAATAGTTCTGTGCTGTTTACACTGGCCCTCTTGCGCAAATGATTTGCGCAAGAGGGCTTTTGCCTGAATGGGAGCAGTACAGTATTTCCGCAAAAACACTGACGATCTTAAATGAGATTGTCAGTGTCCTTGCGGAAATTCAAGCGGCCAGTGTAGACAGCTGGCAAGTTTTTCCGCAAAATCAGATGATTTTGCAGAAAAACTTGCCAGTCTAGACACAGCCCTGCTGTATGGTCTATGGTGATATTAAACCCAGAGCACTTGCAAAGTCTCTCAGAATATGTACCTGGGTGCAATGGAAGGGGAGTCTATAAAGGCAGAGCTGTGTTGGTTCTATGCTGCTGCATTCTAGGTCAGCATCCTGCTTATGCTGATCTGAAGTTTAGTAAAACCCTGGACAACAATGTAGGAGGACATCTCATGGAGCAAGAATGTCACGTGGTAGGTCTTTTTTATTGTGAGATCAAATGTCCCATGTTTTTCTTTCCCCCACTGTCCTGTAGCTCACTAGCCCCTAGTCTTTAATCTTCCCATCAGCCAGCAGATAACAACTGTATGGCACAGATCAATAGTTTTTTTCCAGAGGCCTTAAAGTTCCAAAATGCACATTCCACCACCATCGTACACTTGCTTAGTGTGTAATTGAATGGTATTCGTGCTGAAAACCAAGCTGCAAACACAGCACCAGAGGTGGAGTGCAATGAGTTGTCCAACTTTCACAACTTCTGCCCATGTGCTCAGAAAGGACAGACCAGAATCCCTAATGCTCTTCCCCAGTGCTCATAAAATGATCTCAAAGAGCAGTTCACATTAGAGTAGCACTATGAACCAAGGGGTATGATTTCACAAGTCCTGGCACTTCACTTGGTTCAGCGTAGGTGCAATAACTAAAGTGTAACTTGACTTTTCCTTTGCAGTACGGACTAACATAGCTCAAGTGGCTAAATCTGAGGATAGTAACTTGAGTTAGCTCTTCAGGGGATCCAAATCCAAATGTTTAAGTAGATTTTTTCTTAAGTGGTCAGGCTTTCCCAACTGAGGTTTATAGAGATAAGTGGCCTATTTTAGAGTGGCATTGAATAGCTCTCATTGAATTAAATGAGCACTGTTGATGCACCATATCTCCTGAAGATCAGGCTATGATCAATTTGACCAAAGCCATGTAGCTACTCTGGCATGGGTATGGGAGAAGTTGGAACTCCTGCCTCAGTCTTATAAAATGATCACTAAGTCTTGCTTCCTTCCTAGCTCTAACAAGTAGCCCTGGGTATCTTCTCCAATAAATGGTGTGCTGTTCCAGTGGGCATGCTGGGGAAAGTGAACTCATAAGGCTGACTTAGGACACAATCAGTTTGGAATAATATCTTTGTTTGGCCCTCTCTTTCCACATTTAGTTCTCCAATAGGCAATGGACCAGAAAACTCCTCAACACTTACATTTACTTAATAGCTTTTAGAAAGATAAATACTTCTAAGAGATTTTGTTAAATGATATAATTTGGACTTACAATGCTTGGTAAAACCATCAAAAGTTCTGTCTCCCTTATCATGGCTCCATTTCAGAAGATACTGAAGTATGTGAGCAGTCCCATCAATTTTAATTATATACATCCTTAGATATGGGGCTTTACAGGTTTCTTTTAGGGTTTAAATACATTTTACAACTTCAAGTGCCAATGTGGTCTTAAAATATTCTAGAGACCTTTTACCTGTACAGTCTCTATCTAAGGGCTCTTTATTGTTGAAGACAGGAGAAAATGATTTCTGATATCCTATTAAATGAGCTAAGGGACTGCTCAGTTAGCAGTGTAACAGAGATCTATAGGATATACAACTATACATAGGAAGAGAGACATGAGTCAGATGAACTAGATGCAAATAGGTTATACCTGTTTGGAATATATTGGAAGGGGGTGTATCCTGTCTCTTTGGTTCCAGAGAAGGGTGGGCTTCTTCTTCGAGTGGCCCTATGGGTGCTCCACTGCTGGTGTTGGGCCCTGTCCTGGTGCCGCGAATTGGAGAACTGTCAGAGCCATGGTTTGCTGGACCACGCGCACACGGCTTTCCTTTGGCAGCTTTCGCACCGTTGATCCTTTACGCGCGGTCCAGCCCTGCTCAGTTCCTCTCATTGGCCTCTGATCACGGACGGAGCTCCCTTTATCTCTCTTGTCTTTCATCGTTCTCCTCAGACCTGTCAGCATTTGTAAATAGTTAAGAGTTTTTCGTCAGTTACTTATAGTTCTATAGTTATCTCTTTGAAATATATATATAAAAAAATGTCATCAGAAGTTATAGTGAAGCCGTTGCGGCTAGCCGCCTCAGAACCAAAATAAATAAATAAATAAAAATAAATAATAAAGGGATGGACAGAGACGAGAGAACAATTAGTCAATTTCTCTGTCCCGGCTAATCTGAAGGATGCCGGCGTCCCCTGGATTCAAAAAGTGCTCTGCCTGCTGTGAAGCCATGCTGGCTTCCGACGGCCATGACACTTGCATTAGGTGCTTGGGAGAGACACACGTCCCACAAAAATGCACCCATTGCTGCAAGCTTATGGCGAGAGCAAGGAAGGGCCAAGACATGAGGCTAAAAATGATTGTTTGGCAAGGCTTTGGAGCCTGATGCCATTCCCACCTCTGGGGCCGTGAAACACAAGCGGAGGGCAGCTTCTTCTGGGACGACAGTTACAAAGAAATTTAAGGCGTCCCCAGTGGAATCCCTCCCGCCTACCAGCAGAGCAAGATGTCCTGAGAAACCATCTGAGGCTACCACCCCACGGCATCCAGCTGCTCCCAGGGCTAAAAGGTCGCCCACACCAGCACCGAGAGCGCGAGCCGCATCAGCTCCGTCAGCAGCGCAAAAGCCAGCACCGGAAACGGCTGCTCAAGCGACGCCTGCTTCAGCAGTGTCAACCCCTCTGGCACCGAATGCTGAAGCATTCGCTTCTGCACCACTGGCGCTGTGCGCAACCCTGGCAGCGCACACATTTTCAGCAGCATCAACTCTGCCCCCGAATGGAGTCTCCTCGGCACCGAGCCAACCTCGTTCAGCCCTGAGCTCTCCAGCTGCTAGGGAAATTGACAAGGCTTCCCTCCCTAGTAAAGCCTCATCAAAGGAAACTTACAAGGCATTGTCTCCTTCCCCTAC